AAAAAAAAAAAAAAAGCAAATATCAAAAAGTCAAGTGGTCAATTCAAAAGTCACAGCCTGGGTGAGTCAGCTCTAAAGTGCTGCTGGAGCCTTAAAGGGATAGTTTGGATGTTTTTAAGTGCAGTTCTGTTGAAAGGGTCCAAACAAATACAGTCTGACCTGTTGTAGATTGATCTTTAAATAGATCTGTTTGGAAAAACTTTATGGACATTAAATGGACTGCACTCATAAAGCACTTTTCTATCTCATCCAGACAATCAAAGCACTTTACACCTCAATCTGTGTCCTCATGTACCCATTCATACAGCACTAGAGCTATACAAAGCTAATTGAACAAATCATTCTACAGAGACTAATCAGTGCTTTTAGAGCACATTCATACACTGATGGGACACACATCAGAGGCAATGAGGGGTTCAGTGTCTTGCCCAGGGACACTTTGGCATGTGACTGCTGCTGGATTCAAACCCCCAACTCGTGCACTGGAGGACGACTGCTCTAACCACTCAGCCACCCTATGACAGTACTGACGAGCTAGTAAAATGGATTGCTGCCCTCTTAAACCAACTACTATCTAAACTTCACGGCGCTAACGTTATCCTGCTGAAAGCGCTTCACGCTGCAATAGAAGAGCTACAGCTAGCTGCTGCTGCTATTACTATTTGCACTTACAAATAACCAAGCAAATGCAAAACTGATGGTTTATTAAACAGCTTTTGCATAAACTGATATATTTATTTTTAATCAAAGCTGTTTTAAGATGACGCCAGTCCACTTTGACTTGGGTGTCACACAGACCAGCCTTTTGCTTGTCAGTCTTCACAAAACTGAACTTGCTTCAAACTGAAGTTTTTTGAAAGATTCATCTACAACAGAAAACTTTCTTCAAAACATTAGATTTTGTTCTTGCCAATCAATCCCAGTCTTATTTTGAAAGGCTTGCTGCCTCTTGGTTTTGGTGTTAAGTTTTTTCTGCTGTCTGAGTTGCACACCTGGATTGCGTTAGCATTTTCCACTCACCTGTTCCTTATTAGTCAGTAACTCCCTCAGGGTAAATAAATAGTCCCAGGCTTCATGCTTTGTGCTCTTTTTGTGCAGCCCCCCCCCCCCAATCCTGGTTTTCCACATTGTTTTTTTTCCCCCAGTTTAATTCTATTCAGATTATTTCTAAACTATTACAAAAAAAGTATTTTCTGGGCACTATCCAGAAAGTAAATAGGCCCACTTCATATCCAATTAAACACAAACCCAGTCAGTCCAAAACAATCAGATTCAGACTTACATCACTAAGTTTCCATCATCCTGCTCCTGTCGAGTTTTTGTTAAAATAAAATTAGTTTTACCATCACCGTCCTGCCTCCTGCTTCTGATGTTCTGCATTGGCTTCTTCAGCTCATAATCCATCTGCAACTATTTCAGCTCTAACTGACACTTGAAGGTCTTTCTTTGAGTCTCAGTTGACTTTGGTTTTGCTGGAAAGTTTGCCTACTTTCTAAGTACAAACTTAAGTGAAAATTAACATCCATCCTTCCATCAATTATATTTACCCACTTCTTCCTTTTTGAGTCGTGGAGATCACTGGTGCCCATGTTCACTTATCACTGTGTGAGAGGTGGGGGACACCCTGGACAGATCGTAACTCCATCGCTAATACTTGGGTATCTTGGTCATTTGCATCTCTTTTAAGCTTCACTGGAAAACTTGGTAATGAAACTGAAAGTTAAACTGGGTTTAATTTTCAGAAATAGATCCAGTCTAAGTCTAAATGCTAGGAAAAGTCTTGTTTCTGTGACTTTCCTTCCCTCCACTGATTACGGTGATATTATTTACATGAATGCTCCTACAAGAACCCTGCAGATGTTGGATGCTGTCTGTCATGGTGCACTAAGATTCATAACTGGCTGTGATTATCATACCCACCACTGCAGCCTGTATTCACTGGTTAACTGGACATCATTAACTTCACGTAGACGCTTCCATTGGTATATTTTCATCTTTAAATCACTTCTTGTCTGCTGCCTTCATACATCTCCTCCTACGTGTCACTGCGTGAGTGCAGCTACAGCGTGCGCTCTCAGGACATTATTACCTGCAGTGTTCCCTCAGTGAGAACTGAAATAGGCAAAAGGGCCTTCTCCTACTCCCGCTCCTGTTTTAACATGCATGTTTTTGGTCTGTGGGAGGAAACCGGAGTACCCGGAGAAAACCCATGCATGCACGGAGAGAACATGCAAACTCCACCCAGAAAGGTACTGGGCCGGGAATTGAATTGACGACCTTCTTGCTGAGAGGCAACAGTTCTACCAACTGATCCACCATGCCCCCATGAAAATTAAAGATTTACTATTAAATTTAAGTTCCCTGGTATTGAGAAAGGAGAAAAAAAATGTTTTAGCTTTAATTTTAAACTAAATGTTTTCATAATTTGAGAATATAAATGAAGTTGACTGAGCAGCAGCCAGCATCGAGGGCCGATGACTCAAACCCAAGTTGGAACGACATAAATGCTTAACCAAACCAACCATGTGACTTATCTTTGCTCCCTTTTCAGATTTTGGGAAGAAACATAAAAATAAAAATAGTCACTGGCGAGGAATTCTGTGTCTAAACACAGCAGCTGAGTGATGAAAACTGGACACTGAACACACCACAAGTAATCATTATCTAACACATGCTGACAAGTAGATTAAACCCATTACAGCTTTGATGCACCAGTTTATCCATACTACTACCTATCTTGAGATAAATGATAGATACAGAATAAATAATACTATGAATACATTAAAGCAGAACATGTTTAAAATTGTGCAATATGAAAAACAATGCACTTTTACAATCATTTAAGTATGTTGCCATAATATAATTTTAGTAAACCGTTATAGGTTTGTCCAATTTTTCATTCAAAACCACAGGAGTTATAGCACAATAGTGAAAATTAAAAAAGAAAATTAAATAAATGAATCATGCAACATGTTACATTTATACACAAATCCATTATTTCCATGCATCTGCATCAAATAATGTGTGTGACTCACTGGTCCAGGACAAAGTAGAGATCAAATCCTCCAAAGCACGAGGAAGCCTGAGCCGGCCTCTGGTCCTGGCTCGGTCCAGCACTTACAGCACTGAGAACAACCAGCACAACACCAAACACCACTGGAAGCCAGGAGCTTCTACTCCAGCACACAGGCATCATTCCACATGCAGGAGACCTCAGACTGATCATTTAACAAAGATCTCTACTTTGAGTTGAAAAACAAAGTACCGGTAATCTTCCATGCAATTCTTCTGTCAGTCTTCCACAGGTGGTTACAGCAAAAAAATAACAAGTTGTTTTCTTTGGGAGAGCTCTGAAAGTTCCTGAGAGTTTAAAAAGGAGGAGTGAGACAAAACAGGAGAGATGATGATGGCACTCTCTCACCTCCAGGTCCAACAGACTGCAGATAAACGAGAGGAGGTCCAAAACCTCCTTCTGGTGCAGCTTGTTTATGTCAAGGCCATCCAAACCCTGAATGTGTCTGCAGAACTTTTGCTTGTCTTTTCTCTCTTTCTCTCTGTGTCTGAATGATTAAGACAACACTGTAAAAACACCATCAACTTCTGACTCTTCCTGCCACCTAGTGGTGAAGCAAGGCTGCTTTTAAACTGACACCAGGGACCATACACATATGGTAATAGATAACATTTGTGAATGATCTGGAATTGCTTGGGTGATGAAACTGGACTACAACTATGGGAAATGGGAAACATGAGACAAATAAAAAAAAAAAAAAATCTCTTTTGTTCCTGCATTTCACCAAAATCTGCTCAAGCTGGAAACACACAAGGAAAGAATGACAACCATGTGAGATCCTTCTGCGTCTACAGTAAGTAAAAGTAAATAGAGTAACATCAAATATTTTTATCTAATGTCTTATCTAAAGTGTGTGTGTGTGTATATGTATATATATATATATAAATAATGGTATACACACCATATATTTATACTGGTTCTGGACATAAAACAAATCTCATGAAAAAGTTGATGTATTTCAGTAATTCCATACAAAAAGTGAAACTTGTATATTATTTTCATTCATTACACACAGACTGATATATTTCAAATGTTTATTTCTTTTAATGTTGATGATTGTAACTGACAACTAATGAAAACCCCAAATTCAGTATCTCTGAAAATTTGAATATTATGAAAAGGTTCAATATTGAAGACACCTGGTGCCACACTCTAATCAGCTAATTAACTCAAAACATCTGTAAAGGCCTTTAAATGGTCTCAGTCTAGTTCTGTAGGCTACACAATCATGGGGAAGACTGCTGACTTGACAGTTGTCCAAAAGACAACCATTGACACCTTGCACAATGAGAGCAAGACACAAAAGGTCATTGCTAAAGAGGTTAGCTGTTCACAGAGCTATGTGTCCAAGCACATTAATAGAGAAGTGAAGGGAAGGAAACAATGGGGTAGAAAAAAAGTGTACAGGCAGTAGGGATAATCACACCCTGGAGGATTGTGAAACAAACCATTCCAGAATGTGGGGGAGATGCACAAAGAGTGGACTACAGCTGGAGTCAGTGCTTCAAGAACCACCATGCACAGATATATGAAAGACAAAGGGTTCAGCTGTCACATTCTTTGTGTCAAGCTACTCTTGAACAAGAGACAGCATGAGAAGCTTCTTGCCTGGGACTGCTGCTGAGTGGTCCAAAGTTATGTTCTCTGATGAAAGTTAAATTTTGCATTTCCTTTGGAAATCAAGGTCCCAGAGTTTGGAGGAAGAGAAGAGAGGCACAAAATCCACGTTGCTTGAGGTCCAGTGTCAAGTTTCCACAGTGATGGTTTGGGGTGCCATGTCATCTGCATGTGTTGATCCACTGTGTTTTCTGAGGTCCAAGGTCAACACAGCCATATACCAGGAAGTTTTAGAGCACTTCATGCTGCTGACCAACTTTATGGAGATGCAGATTTCATTTTCCAACAGGACTTGGCACATGCACGCAGTGCCAAAGCTACCAGCACCTGGTTTAAGGACCATGGTATCCTGTTCTTAATTGGCCAGAAAACTCGCCTGACGGTAACCCCAAAGAAAACTATGGAGTATTGTGAAGAGGAAGATGTGATACACCAGACCCAACAATTCAGAAGAGCTGAAGGCCACTATCAGAGCAACCTGGGCTCTCACAACACCTGAGCAGAGCCACAGACTGAACGACTCCATGACACATTGCATTGCTGCAGTATTCCAGGAAAAAGGAGCCCCAACTAAGTATTGAGTGCTGTACATGCTAATACTTTTCATGTTTGTACTTTTCAGTTGGCAAACATTTCTAAAAATCATTTTTTTTTATTGGTTTTATTTTTAATTTTCTGAAATACTGAATTTGGGGTTCTCAATTGTCAGTGAGGGCAGGGCTTATAGGCCTGCTAATTTCTGCTTCCATAATCCCAGAATGTCCCTTTTGGTTGTGAAGTAAAGGGGTGTGTGTGCTTGCCACCAAACTGGTCACCAACACACAAGCTTAATTATTAAACGGGCTTTATTCAAAAAGAGTGTTTCTAAGAGAGACGGCAAGCGCAAATCGTGGGAAGTGCCACTAAGACTGCCGTGATTTGCGCTCGGCCCTGCTGCTTTCTAAAGCACTCTACAACACAATCTGTGACCTCATTTACCCACCAGGTGCTGGTCATAAAAGTTTTTATTTCAGTAATTCTATACAAAAAAAAAAAAAAACTATTCATTCAACACAGACTGATATTTCAAATGCTTATTTTAATGTTCATAACCTGGGGGCAGGACCACAGAAATTTGTTCTATGGCACTAAGTCTCAGATTCAAACTTGTACTGTATTTATATATATATATATATATATATATATATATATATATATATATATATATATATATGCATGCAGTTTGAATAATGTAAATTTGAGAAACTTACACATTTGTGTAGTGAACCTGATCTCATGTCAAATCTGACCAGATGGACAGAGACTGTTATTTCATTGATCTGCATCCAGAAATACAGTTTGAGCCATCTGGAGACTTTCTTTCTTGAAGTAATCAAGTAGAAAAGACAATTCTCTATGATCATTACTATTTTACAAATGTTTGATAATCAAATTGTGTTAGTTCACTCAATGTTTACAGGTTGAAGAGAACTACTCATTTTATTTACATAAACAGTAAGTAATGATTTTTATTCCTCATTCAAAGAAGAAATCAGGTTAATTTGCATTTCTTGATTTTTCTGTCTTCAATGAGCAAATTTGTAAGTATGTTAAAGGTCGACTTTCGGTCAACTAAAATGTTTACTGAGAAGAAATGTCATGTTTAATCTTCACAGAAGATACAGGAGAGTTTGACTCCACGAAGTCTGGTTTTCTCCAATAATCTTTCTGTCTGTTTTTAAACAATCTCCTTCTCTGCCCTTGACTTTGATAACACCTTACATCACAAACCACACCTCTGATCTGGTCTATCCACCAATCAGAAAGCTCTAAAATGACCCGGAAGTCAACTCATTTAAATGTGGCAACTTCCCGGTTCTCGAGAGAGCTAAAGAGCTAGAGAGTGTAACAGAGTAATAAAGAGTTGTAGTTCTCCTGGAGAAGAGAGATGAAAAACTCTCTGATGCAGTTCATGGAGAAGAATTCCAGAGTTTAATACCTGAAGAGAGTTCTGAAGGAGTTCAGAATTCTGACATTCCAGGATGCAGAGAGGATTTTGGGAGTATAACTTCTGTTTGGATAACCTCGCACGACTCTCTAAGGGTTTGGCTGTCCTCATGGAGACGCTGAAAGAGTCAGAAAGGAACCCTACGCCGACGCTGATTTTATCATCAACCAGGTAGAAGGTTCTATTTTCGACCAAGTGTACCGTGGCCAAGCTGATTTCCCAAAGAGCGTGCACGTTTCTGGTCAAACAGATTAATTCCCTCACACATCTCTCTGTAAGATAAATCTCCATTTTTCATCTTAAACTCTCCTTTCTCCAAAAATCATTACAGATATTTTAGAAATATCTGAAGCAAAGTTCTCAATCACCGCCGTGTGATTGATGTCTGTTCTGCTGAGAAGTGAGGACAATCGCCGCATTGTCCACTTTCTGTGAACTTGAAATTGTTATTGTTTTCATATTTTGCCAAATTAATGTAAATGTTTGATGTTAAACTTTGATTCTGCAAATAAATGACCGCATTCATTTGATGGGTCAAAGATAAAAACGTCTCTTGTTCGCATTTCTGTTAAACTCAACGCACGACATTTACACAGTCAGAAAGATGAGGAACTCGTGAAAAATGTATGAACATATCCAGCTTATGTCATACTACATTTGTGACTGAGGTACGAATTGATGTGTTGAGTCATACATTTGTGAATCATGTTCACTTACAAATCTTCTATGCTTGTGAATCTTATCGAACGAGTTTGCAAATCTTTTTACTATTTAGCTCCATAGTTTCCTGTAGTTCATTTTTCACCCAGCTAATCACTACAGTCAAGGCTTTACAAACAATGGACTTTACTCTTGATAACACTTTTATATCAATCTTCCTCAGGGATGGAATCTATCCCCCCACTGTAGAGATGTAGAACACTTTTTTTTTTTTTTTTTTTTTAAAGTGTTGGGACACAATTTTTGTCGTTATTGGTGTCAAGAGCTAAAGACTGCACAGTTTATCCATTTATGTTTGGAAGTGTAAACTGAGCATGTTCCGGACAATTTATCAGAAAAGTTTGTGAACACGAGTACTGATCATTGTTCAGAGACATTTTTACAGTCGGACAGAGAAATTGAAAAAAAAAATTAAAGTTGTATGAAGCTGCTGATGTGACAAGTTTGTGTATAATAGGACATCAGAACCCAAAACAAGAATTTAAAAGCCATGTTCCTTCTTTTCCGTTTCTAGAATAATTTGAACAGAATGATAGAAGAGTTGTAAAAGAATACGCAATACTATTAATATTCTCTCAATTTATTTAAGATCTTCTGTAGTTTAAAAAGGCCATGCAATTGAATTTACCAGACCTTTGAACTTCCACAAAAGTCAAACATTAAACACCAGTATCATTATTTTCCTACAGCAGAAGTAATTGGACATGTCACAGATGGGTCATTCTTCTTGTGCACGATGTACTTGCAGGCTTTTTTGTCAAACTCTGCCACACAGTCATTGGGGAATCCAGTTGGG